AAATACACTTATTTTCAGCATTTATTCTGTAAAATAAAAGTTTTTATCTGATTACTGATGTGTCTGTAGAAGACTCATCTCGTTTGAGTTTTATCGCCCAACCATTAAATTGGCCCGACTCTAATTTCAAAACCTACTTAAGCTTTCAGCCGAATCAGTCGTGTCTGTCTCCGATTTCTACCTGCGAATATGAAGCGTTCCTGATTTGTGCTGAGTGCACTGACTGAAGAGAGAGAGAGAGCTGCTTTCTGCTGAGATCTTTTACTCTAAACTGGAAGAGCTTTATAAACTCTCTTCCTTTTGTTTTTTTATTTTGAAGGGGAATTCAGTCGTCACAGGAAACATTGAAGAAAAAAAATCCCACCTCGCAAAAACAAAAAAGGTGTTTTCATTTATAGACCAGTGCATTTCCAGTGATCGCTCCGGCTGCAGGCTGTGGACTGTTTCTACAGCTTTGCAGTCAGTAACTGAGTTTATATGCAAGGTCGCTGTAAGATGGTGTATTTGAGGGTTCGTTGAGTTCAGTGTGAGATTCAGAAAATGAAAACGACGCTGTTCCTATTGTTGCACTTTTTAGTTATTAAGTGGAAACAGTCTATTTCCTGGTAGTAGAGTTTATCCATGTGTAACGTGACCTGTGTGTGTGTGTGCGTGCGTGCGTGTGTGTGTGTGTTCCCTTTTTCACGTGAACAAAACAAGCTCTCGCCTCCAGCGACTGTAAATAAGAAATGAATATGACTGTTTGTCCACAAGTGATTTGTGTTTCAGTAAGTGTGACGCTGTTCCCTTTAAATCGTCCCTGACTGAAGCGACACGTCTGGATTTCCTCTGTACGATGAAGTCGCACAAAGAGATTGAATCTCTGTTTCTGTTCATCTGTTAAGAATTTCTTCCAGTTACTGTTTAAGAGACGTTCTCCTTGATTCACACACTGTCTATATGGTTTATCTCCTGTTGCCAAAACAGTTTGGAAATTGAAAATAAATGTTACAGTCTCATCACAAAGATAAGAGCAAGTTATTTGTGGTGTGATAAATGTGTGTTTTCACAAAGCAAATCAGACGAATATTCCTCCTGATTTAAATAAGTCGTAGATTGTGTCTCTGATCTTATTGGAAACATGATCCCAGCTGACACATTATTCACGACTGACCGCTTCAGTTTTCACTATTACACCATCAGACACACTGTCCGACACCGTCAGACACATTATGACATCATATCCCTTCAAAGTGAGGCCATCATATGTTTTATAGATATAATATAAAATCCCAGGATGAGGAATAATCTTATGAGCAAAACGCAGTTTAGATTCTGTCGATTAATTGCAGAGAAATCTTCATATTTTTCTTGACCTTGACCTTTGACCTGCTCCCAGCGTTAATTCAGCTTCTGATTTTAAGAAATTGACTTGTCGCTCCTCTGTCGTCAGAGTGGAGCTTCCTGTCGATCATTCAAATCTCAGGCAAAACAAAAATAAAATCAATTAAATTGTATTTCTCCTCCCGAGTTACCCAGCATACCTCAGTGACACCAAGTTAAAACCAACCAGGCTCAAATACACGGAAAGTCTTTACTGATTTACATTCTGTGTGAAAAACACTTTTTCTCTTCTGGTTTATTGGAAACTTCATGCAGGGAACAGATGTTCAGAGGTCGACACACTCAGTCTTTGTGAAAACAGTTTCAGACGGTACGATGCTGCACTGCAGGTCTCTGGAAAAACAAATCATTTAATGTAGCATCCAGTCAGTTTCATTATTATTATCGTTATTATCATCATAGCAAAAAGAGTCAGAGTGAAATCATCCAGAAATCTTTAAATACCAACTAATCAGATGTGTGAACATTCTGTGCATCAAAGTTTTCTGAAGCCCACTTCAGACTACAGAACTTTGGCTATGAGTTCGCTGCCCCTCATATTTTTTTAGAACTGGGACTGAAACTCTTTTGTCAGAAAGGATATCTCAGAGACTCATCTTGACTTTCTTCTTGAAACGTTTGATTGTGAGAGTCTGAGCAGAAGACAGAATGAGGGAGGCAGTGGACCAACTCTGATCCGGGCCTCACCCTCAACATCTGACATGCGTTCCAGTCGGATCAGTCCAGGTACCGATCCCCTCGGTCAACAGACTAATGATTGTTGTGTGGGCGGAAGCGGTTCTGACGGTCTTATAGTCTGGTCCAGCCTTCAGTTCCCAGGAATCCACCAGAGCTCTGTTGTTCAGGAATGAATTCAGACGGAATGATGTGGTTTCTCAACTCGTCTCCTCGAAAGATGCAGTTTGTCTGAGGAATTTGAGAATTTGCAGAGTCCATCAGTTTCTCCACTCAACTAATCCATCAGCCTCGAAGTTGAATCTTCTGTCATCATCGTGTTCTTCCCCTTCCCTGTTCATCCGTCCGTCCCTTCCGTCAGGCTCATTCCTGCTTTATCCTCCTCTGACTGTTCCAAATAAATTCTCTCTTTCTTTTTAGAGACTCCCCCCTCCTCTCCCTTCCTCTCGTCCTCTTCTTCTCTTCTCTCCATACATCTGAAAGAACATCTCCATTTCTCTCTGCAGCGTGTCGTTTCGTCGATCGGCATCGGCTTTGGCTCGCTCCATGTTGCGGATCTTGATCTCGGTGACACTTTGGCTGCGCTTCTGCTGCTGCAGATTGACCCGGAGCACTGCCACCTGCCGCTCAAGGACGTCATTACAGCGCTCCAACCTGCAACACACATAAAATATCACGTGGATTCTGAGCTAACATGGCTAACATACATGGCTAACCTTTTTTTCCAACTTATAATTTGACATGTTTTAGTCCCTTTGGTGCAAATAAGCAGAGACTGTCTCACCTCTGTATCCTGGCCTGGTACTCGGCCTTCTGCTGGGCCATCTGCTGCTGCAGCTTGGCCAGGACTGAGTGAGCCTCCCAGGACTGTGGTGGATTTTCAGGCCCATCGACGTCTGGAGGACCAGAGGGGAGGAACACCTCCGAACTGCCTGTGCTGATGGGGCTGGCACTGAGTGCAGAGGCCGGGGAGTTGAGATGGTGGACGCTGTCATCATCGTCATCATTATCTTCATCGTCATCATTGTTATTGCTGGTGTCTTCATGATCACCACCATCACAGTTTTGCTCTTCTGCTGCCTGATTGGATGAGAACCTCTCAGGTTTCTTTGGTGAAATGTCGGCGTTAACCGCCCCCACAGCGCCGGTGCTCTTGTCCAGTGGTAGAAACTCGTAGGACGACCATGACGAGGAGTCCCTTCTCTGCTGAGCTTCCTCTGGTTCTCCCTCCTCTTCACAAGTTCGCATATGGTCTCCTGGATCATTGGTTTCAGGGTGTTCACCAGTGACGTCCTCCATCCTTTGGTGTAAAGACACTCTGTCCAGGTTGTCATAGGCAGAAGGGGTGCTGTCCTCCTGTGCCTCACTGCTGCCCCCACTAGCTGCATCTTGCACTGCACTCTCTCTATCTGCAGCACCAGAGCTCCAGAAACCAGCTTCTGCTTCTCCAGGATCTGGCCACGGCTTTGACCAGTCCACGAGTATCAATCTGGGCTTGGAGCTGTCTGGCAGAGGGTCTTGTTGTTGGAGGCTGGTTGTAGAAGCTTGTACATTTGCAGAGTATGATCCTTGACCGGCCTGATCCTGGTGGTAATCCGGTCTCTCGGATTGGTGCTGTGGGGGGTGACTGGAGGAGGGCAGGGGGTAGAAGCAGTTCTCTGGGTGGGAGGAAGTGTAGCGATGGCCGAGAAGTCTCTTCTGGCCCCAGGACGAGTCTAGGTTGGCGGCAGCACCATAGATAAAGCTACTGAAAGAAAAAAGAGATTTCAAGATAATCAACTCTTTAGTATGTAAGGTTGTGTTTAGAAATTAGAACGGATGGATGAGGGTGAGAGATTGAATGTAGGGAGAGAAGATTCTGTGGATTCTTCTCGAGGTGTGAGAGGTAAAACCAGGATTTAATGAAATGGGTGAGGAGGGGGTGGAAGACTTCTAGGTTTAGAAGTAAAACAGGATGGTCAGGCTCGACTGTGGTACTGGAACCATATAATACAAAAATGTAATATTTGAATTTGTTGTCGTACCGGTGGTTCTGTTCCTCTGTGGTGGACTGTCCGGGCTCTCTAGAGCATTCCGCAATGAGCGGCATGGACAGCTGGCGAAGCCGGGGTGACGTCTGAAGATGAGGGTGCCTCAGAGCACTCGGCGATGCATGTGAACCTTCAGGTGGATACGAGGACATGGGTGGAGAGACTTTGGCAAACAGAGACTCGTGCTCCCTGATCAGCTCCAACATCAGCACATGGACTAACGCTGCACCTGGAACACAGAGAAAAACCCGTGGACGACCCTTTGTGTGATATCACAAATACTACATCAGTTTCCAGCGCTGGGGGCCAGCTGATCTGTCTACCTCCCATGATGCTTTGTGGGTCTTCAGCTTTAGCTCGGAGGATGTTTGGCCCAAACACTGTGGCCAAGTTTTGATCGCTCATCTTGTTGCTGCCGGAGTAACTCTGCACTTCGTTCAGAAACCTGCACACAAACATTTATGTCTACATTCATGTCCACTTTTTCCATCAGTACTTTTCGAACTCAATCAAGGAAGAGACTCACTGGCAGATAAAGTTGAGAAGGTTAAAGTTTGCGACTGGCAAATCGTGAAGAAGACTCCGCAACTCCCTCAAACCCTGAAGGAGGGATGAAGGGGTGGAGAACAAGAGAAAGAGAACAAGACGGAAGGAAAAGGTGATGATTTCTTTCAGGGTCCATTTCACTTGTACGTCCCTGCAGCGGAGTAAAACCACTAAAGGTCAAATAACTATGTCAGGAGCTTAACTAACCAACATGTTGACGGCGCCCTGAGCTGTTACCTGTGTGTGGTCACTCTTGAGCGTCTGTCTACATAACAGAAAGTCCTGGTAGCAGCTGTAAGGAATCAGAGGCTCCGGCAGCTGTCTGAGGTAGAGCTTCAGCAGCGATGCCACCGTGTGGACGTCCGTGCTACTGCTGGCAAAACACAGTGAGCTGAGCAAACTCATGTCACAAAACCCTTTCAAGAACTCCTGATCTGAAAACAGCTCCGACAGAAACAGGGATTGTACCTGTCGAACGACGGTCTCTCCCCGGCATCGAACGCCTCCTGCAGCTCTTTCACCAGACTGGCCTGTCCTGGCTGGCGAAACAAGCCCACTTCGTGCAGGCCACGCTCCCGGATGAAGTTCACGCACTGCTCCACCACCAGAGGAACCAAACGCAGCCCATAGCGTCGCTCATACAGCACCGTCTCCTCCAGACGCTGGCCAAAGACCCCTGTAAGAAAAGAAGGTGATGAGATTCACTTCATCCACTTGATATAAAACTTTAACACGGAAAAACGACTCAGTTCTCTGTTGCTGTCTTTTTTATTTTTCCCACAATCAGCAAATCAGATATTGGCAATGACCGGATTATTGATTTTTTGCCGCTAGAGGCCTCAAGAACTCAAAACCAGCTGATGGACTCGGTGTTAAGAACAATTTTAATTAAGTCCTGTCAGCAGTTGCTTTCTTAAACAAAATGCATCATGATACTTCTTTGTAAGAAGACGTGTCTACCTGTGAAAGGGATCCAGACTCCCTTGTTGAGGCTCTTCAGCCACTCATCACCCTGACCTGCACTGTTGGACAGGAAGAAATAGGAACCTGGACTGGCCAACACGTCTCTGTTACCTGCACACAAACGTGGCATCGGGGGGATCGTCAAGTTTTTATGGCGAAAGATTCAATGCTGTCATCACTGTCACAATGAAATAATGGACATCATGCAGGAACCATAAACAATCTTAGGTGGTGATGCTCAGATTCTTCTTATGTGCATGTTTCTGGTGAAAGAAGAAGGTGGAGGGACTTTTTGCAGATATTGACAGTAGCCATCTTTGTCCACTCCTGTAGATGAATCGTAGGAAGACGTGACCCTGATTAAACGGTTTTTGGAGCGAGGCCATAAATGTTGGAGCCTAGAATTGCAGCCGGCAGAGCTTTTACACTGGACGCAAAATTAGAGCAGGATGAGTCATCAAACATTTGAAACCATTTTACAGGATCAAACACAGAGATTTAGATTTTTAAAAGTTATATAATGTTTACGATGCATATGATGAGATAAATTTACAAGTAACCTGGGAACACAACTTATTCTGATAAACGCATCATCATCATCATCATCATCATCATCATCATCATCATCATCATCATCATCATCATCACAGCTTTTTAGTGTCTTCTTTGGCATAGTTTGGAAAAAGCTGTCTACACACACACACACACACACACTTTCCTCTCTTCTCGCCCATGTCCCATCATGCTCCACTTTCTGTCCTCGTCAAAGTCACACACCAAACGCACATACATGATTGTATGAAGCACACACACACACACACACACACACGGTCACCTCAGACAGTCTCCTAAAGAACCTGAGTCATCGTTTATCTAATGTCGCTAAAGGGCAACACACAGGACTGGAGGGATTAGCAAACACTATGTTGTGGATTAGTGTGTGTTTGTTCGTGCATGTGTGTGTGTGTTTGTGTGTGTGTCTAACCTTTGTGGCCAGTGCCGTCATGTTTCCAGGACTTGAAGCAGCTGAGTCCCATGCTGCAGCGACTCCTGCTCGGGCAGTTGCTACAGTAAAGGTTGTAGATGCTCAGTGCAAATTAAATGCAACCACATTAAAGTTTTTTAGACTTTTGAAGGTTCAGAGGGAACGTTTGCAAAAAAAATCACTTCAGATTATTGGTGATCTTTGTTTTTTAAGCTTGTTGACTAAAACTTTTAACTCCCTGGTAGATGTAGACGTTCTCTGGGACCAACCGTCCGTATATAAGAGACATTCCTGGTAGAACTGGACACTTAGATAAGGTTCCTTCATGGTAGATCCAGGTCAAAAGTGTCTTTTTGGTGCACAAATTTGCAGAGAGGCCCCTGGGGAGGTTTAACCAAACGTTCTTGGTGGATATTGTTTGATAAAGAGCTTGAAACCGAGGTTCTGGTGGATGTCGTGCCATTAAACAAGATTAAACCTTAATCGTAGACATCTGGACGTTAAATGAGAGGAGATCCAGAAGGTTATTCAACTTTTAAAAGAAGATCCATGTGGATATCAAACCTGGCATGTTATTATGATACAGAACCTTGCAAGAAGTTGCAGCCGATTCACTATCATATAAAAAGCGGTGACTCCTTCATGTATGTCTGACGGAGAAGTTTCCTGTGGATGCGAGGCTTCGAAGGGACGAGTATCGAATGGGAACCCAGCGTTAAAGAGAAGTTCCTAATGGGTAAGACCTTGAAGAAGGATTCTCGTTGGATCGGCCTTTACAAGACGTTCCAGTTGAGTATTAGCGAAAGCAAAGTCCCAGGATGTTGCAACCTCACCCCAATCATCAAGAAGACTCCTCCTCTCAGACTACTCCTAAAATAATTTTGCTGGCTCTCCTCAAAAATCTCCATTTGCTGCTGGATGCACAAACAGGTTCAGTCGATTTATTTCCTGGACGCAGCCGACATCGTCCAGCCTCCTCTTCACAGATCCGCTAAACTGACCCACTGGTGTCTGAATGATTTCCAGACAGAGAATTTAAAAGTGTCCTTTTGATGCGTTCATGAGGACAGACTCAGGACTCCAGGTTGCAGGACTGGGTCGTCTACCTGTGCTCTGTCTATCATTGTAGTATCTCATGACTGTCTCGGACACATGATCTGCAGTAGTTCATCTCTGTCCCTCTTTTTAAGTTGCACGTTCTCCGACAGCTGATAAAAAGTGAAACCATCCTGAAGAAACCTTTCACTCTTCTTCTAATCTTGTTTCTTTTATCCCCCTCCGGGCCGGCGACTCCAGCCGGTCCATGGTCCACGAGAAACGATCTTAGTATTCCCTCCTGTATCCTCCCACCCTCCTCCTCCTTGTCTCCCTCTCTATGTCCTTTGCTTTATGAGCTCTTCGGCTGGACGTCCTGCTCCATGTCCACAACACATGTCTGAGTGTCGCCGTCTTTGTCGTCCTCCACCTCCTTCCTCCTCCTTCTTCCTTTTCTATTTGTCTCCCCTGATGTCCATCTCTTTGTCCCCATCCAGCATGTCCTTCTCTCTCAGTCCCACTATCCTCCCTCTCTCTTCCACTCTCTTATTCTCTCTCTCTCTGTCTCTCCATTTACCAGCAGTGTGTGTGCCCCCTTGTTGCCCCCCCTCCCCATTTACCTCATCAATAACCGTGTGTGTGTGTGTGTGTGTGTGTGTGTGTGTGTGTGTGTGTGTGTGTGTGTGTGTGTGTGTGTGTGTGTGTGTG